TAAAGGTAAATTATATGAAAAAAAATATGTTTTTTTTTTTTACAACGAAGCATTAACACATGCTAGACTGCACCCCATAAACACAATCAGGCCTAGAAAAAAAAAACAGTGAACCACCCCTTTAAATGCTAAGATCAAAACATTTGAAAAACAAGAAGTGCCATTTTTGCAGTTGAATTTCGTTCACATGGAGAATGTGCTTTGATGCTGCTGCCGTCACTTAGCATTGCATTAGACACAGATCACGATGATGGTGCTTCATTAACTTGCAGTTGAGTTGTAGCCATGGCATCTTGGGCTTTGGTCGGCACAGTGATTTGATGGTCAGCTGGGTTTGGTTTCCCACTTCAGGTGCTGGAGGTCTTGGGTAAGTCTTGATTTTCTGCCAGGTGGAGTTTCTGTCTAGATAAACCGCATTAAGGAGATATGCACTGCTAATGTACATCTAATGTACAAGCTCTGGAGCTCCTATTACACATAAAAATGCTGACTTCAACTTTCTTCCTGCACATATACTGGATTTATCCATTAGGCTTCCATTAGGACACAACTGATCTTAGAATAATCTCAGCTAAGATGTTTTGAGAAACACAATCCCTGGTTGTACTGAAACTAAAACTAAATGCTTAGCTGAGAGCGGTGAGAGCTTTCAGTGTAACACAAACCCTTTCTGGATAAACAGAAATCCTGGGAAAACACCATGTAACATTTTCACAAAACATTAACTTGACCAGAGTTGATTAAGCTGAAAGATTTGTTAAAGTCAATAAACATTGTATTTTATTAGCATAAAATGGGACTTAATCATTCTTTTTTTGTTAACATCTTAATGACTCCAAACACTTTGGGGGTTAATGTCAAAGGTAAAGTAAAATGGCATATTTTAACACATGCAATCCATAATATGGAAGGATACATTGAGCTGCTCAATTCTTCCAGCTAAGAGGAGAAAAAACAGAGATGCATTCAAAAAAATCAATATAATCGCTGATGCTTTAAAAAGACCAATCTATAACTGCTGAGCTGACAGAATCAGTATACTGAAGCAACAGACTTCAAACAATGGGTTCTTCTGGAATTCAGCCTGTATGTTAACAAAAACTGAGATGACTTGTGTTGTACAGGCTGTCCATTTTCAAAAATTACAAACTGCACTGCAGAAATGCTTTTCCTTACACCATCCCCTAACAGTATACTAATTTAATATATCCTAAATTGTTTATTTTTGTTTTATATGTGTTATTAACACTATTTGTCTATCACCTAGCTTCTGTGAATTCCTGGACTCTAATTTTATAATAAATGGGTGAATTTCATGAACATGTCCAAGTCACATGATTTTACCCCAAAAAAGGAATTAATTTAATATTAAGATCATTTTTGAATCCCATTTTTAATAACTGTAGTACAATAATATCTAAATAAATATTGTATTAATATAACATTAATATTGTTAGAAATAAATATGTATTATTTACATTTTGATCATGAAAGATCATGGTAGTATCTGCAGTGCTGCCTTTAATTAAAGCTGATTAAAAAATACTGTAGTACAGTAATGAGAATCAATAATCAATAACATGAATAATGGAAAATTTTAAAAATAAGACACTGAGATGCATTATGGAGTATGGTGAGGGGGTATGCTTTGTTGTCCTAAAAATACTGTCACAATGCAAAAGTCTTAATAGTCCTAACATAAGCTTTATGAAAATGTGGGGTAAAACATTACCTTGCTTAAGATTCAAATATACACTGTTATACTAAGTGAACCACCCATAATGAAATTCACACACACACACACACACACACACACACACACACACACACTATAATCTGCTGGGCTTTCTACCACAACACACACACACACACACACACACACACACACACACTATAATCTGCTGGGCTTTCTACCACATACCACCGAGCTGACAGCTAGAAGGGAAACACTATCAATAGCAACTGTCTAGCCCTTCACAGACTGATGAAAGAATACAGTCAGACAGCGACACTTGGATTTGGATGATAATACAAGATTCAGCCACAGGCCTGTATTCAGATACAGGGTATTATTGTGTCCAGTCCTTTAGTATCTGTGTGTGAGAGAGTCAGAGTGCTTGAATAGTGGAGAGAGAACAAGTAGACTGGTGTTTCATATCCATTAGATCCAGACTCTACTAATGTGTGTGTCTACTGTAATGATCAAATATAAACTTGTGGGAAAATGAATGTCTGTGGTTTAAGGTTCAGTATGAATACTCACAAGATTAGGGCTGCACGATTTGGAATAAAAATGTAATTAAAATTGCGATTAAAATAGGATTTTTTTTTTTTAACTTCCAGGTTTGGTTGTTTATAGGGCTGCACAGTTTGGTCAAAAATGCAGTGATTACATATCAAATTGACAAAAAAAAAATGATATTGCAGCCTTTGCGATTTGATGATACACTAAGCCATATCACAATTTAGTTTTATTTAGATTAATTGTGCAACCCAACAAGAGATGCATTATTAAAGAAGATTAAATAATATCTTACATTAGAAAGCAAGTGTTCTAGATTACGGTCCGAAGCATTTTTTCTCTGGTCTTCAGACAGCTCCTCCACATGACTATCCAGACTGAAATGCAGCCGGGCCAGATGTTCCTGCATCTCTCTCACATGCTCTAGTTGCTCAAAGGAGCACACCTTACCTGCAAACACACAGTGGAAACTGAGAAAGTACCTTCCTAGACTTCTGAAATCTAAATCAACTCACTGATGAATTAGGTATAGTCAAGGTGCCACCCTTACACACCTCTGCATTCCTTAAAAATGGACCTGATAACCTCAACGTTAAGACTGCAAAACAATTCTAATGACAGCTCAAACTACTAAGGCTTCTGAATAAAACCCTAGTATATACCGAAAGCCTGTAGTTTTCCAGAGTGAAAGTCGTTGAGCAGGTTGAGCAGTCCTCCCTCCATCTCTCTCACATCAGAGACGCCGGTGAGGAATGAGTGCTGGAGTGGTGAGGAGGACTGGGATACGCGGCTGGGTCCGGCAGGCTGAGGAGCTCTGGGTTTCTCTCCGTGAGGCCTACAAATGGAAACAGAATCACTGTTAGACAGTTTTATGTGGCACAATTTGGAAATATCAATTACTAACTCAAAAACAAATTAGCATCTATGATATGTCATTTGAAGAACACACACACACACACCTTGTGTTTTTGGGGGGAACCACAGGAACAGCGAGAGCTTCTTTAGACGGACCCATTGCCCCCACCGATCTCTTGTACTTGCCCCTGGGTTTTGGGGAGGGGGGCTGGGGTAAACCCAATGAGAATGTGGCGCTTTTACTCGCTGGGAGAACGGTGAGCTTTCGAGGGTTGATTGGTGGAGGAGGGGGCTGGGGAAGGGACACTTTGGGACTCCTTTTCTTCCTCTTGTCTTCCATGAGGGCAGTGGCACTTTCTAAGACACACAGACAAGAGCTCTCAGCTACTGAGATGTATGAAAAAACAAAATGAGATGATCCTAAACTAGTGGAATATATAGTGTGTAATTTCTTTCAAAAGGCACCACATGAAATTGCAAATATTTTGTTATATGAACTAGTGTTACCCAAACACAGCCATTATTGTAAAGCAATCTACTTTAATGGGAAAAGTTTAGGCTCTTTGGCTATGGTGGGAAGTCAACCAGGAGCATAACCCCTACAGAGACAGATTAAAGGTGCAATAGGTGATTGTCTTCAGAAACATTTTTTGTTATGCTGGTTGAAAGTCTTTTCACATCACATAGCAATCATTAAGTTGAGTGGTCTAAATGTATTTATCTGTATTTATATATTCTGTGGAAGGCCTAGGACCAAGAAATGTTCGCCCAATCAAAACGCTCGGTCCGAGCGTTTTAATTGGCTTTCCTACCTGCCTGTCAACGTATGTATTAGCATACCTCTGCACACCCAGTTCGCGCAGACAAGATACGTCATCAGCGAGTTCACGCATGCTGTGCAGAGTGCAGACAGAGCGAGAATGGCAGACAAACATCAACAACCCGATCTTCCTTCCTGGTATTGTAGTACTTTTAAAGTTCTCTCACCGGTGAATGAAACATGATGTAGCCCAGCGCTTCCCAATCAGTCCTTGCGCCCGCTCTGCATATTTTGCATGTCTTGCTTATGCCGAGTTCACACTGCACGATTTTAGCCCGATTTTTCACTCGCCGACAGGTTTTGCGAAATCACAGACAAATGCCCGACACGTCGGCGATTCACATTCACGCTGTGTGCAATGAGTTCTGACTGAAAAACACATCGGCGATGACCTACAGCCAATGAGAGACCAAGATACAGGGCAG